AATTCGATTGAGATTCAACCGGGTTAGAAAGAAAAGAGAGGAAAGAAAGAAGAAGAGAGAAAAGGGAAAAGTGAAATATGAGGAAAAAGGCTTGGAGCTGCTTTTTATACAAGGCCCAAAACGACGTCATTTTTGCCTTAAAAAGACTTCAGGATCCGCGTGTTTTTATTCAAGTAATCCAATCCGAGCGCAATCTGTTTCACCAACCTGTCCCCCAACCTGATCGAGTCGAGCCGAGCCAAGCCAAGCTTTTGAGTCAAATCGTCGAGCCATTTTCTGTGTCTAAAACTGAGCCGCGTCAAGCCGTTAAGTCGAGCCATTTTTTTTATTATTATTTTGTTGGTATTTTTTATTTTATTTATGTGTTTGTGTTTTAGTATTTTTATATAATTAAATTTAGAAAAAATTAAAACAATAATAATTTTTTGGAATAAATATTAATTATCCAATGATAAAATTTATAAAAATTTCAAATGGTAAATTTCAATAAAATTCCTAAGTAAAAAATTTTGTCTAAATTTGTCCCAAATGGTGAAATAATTTAGACAAAATTTTAAAATAATAATTAAGATTTATTTTCAATAAAAAAATAAAAAATAAAGAAAAATAAAAATTTTGGTTGAAAATATTTGATAATTATCCAATGATATGATTCTTAAAAATTTCAAATGGTAAATTCCTAAGAAATTTCTACGTAAAATTTTTTTTAAATTTGTCCCAAATGGTGGAAAAATTTAAATGAATTTTTAATAAAAAATAATTATCATATTATTTTTTCTTTTGAAGACAAAAAAGTAAATAAAGAGAATATTTTTAAATTTACCCAAATGGTGAAAAATTTAGAAATCCAAAAAAAAAAAAGAGAATTTCTAAATATGCCCGAATGATGAAAAATTTAAAAATTTTGAAAATTTTTTTTAAATTAATTCAAATGGTGAAAAATTTAGAAATTCAAAAAAAATATTTTTAATTTGGCCCAAATTGTGAAATAATTAAATATATTTTCAATAAAAAAATAATAAATAAATATTTTTCCAACGACAGAGTCTCTTCAAGGAAACAAATAGGATCTTTGAATACTCTTAAGTTGAAAAAATATTTTTAAGAATTCTACCAGATTGATGGAAGAATTTTATGAATTATTTCTAATATTTGAACATAAAAATTTGAAACCATTAGACTCAATACCTTATGATAAATTTAAAATAATATAGTACCATCATTCAAATGGCCATGTGGGGGTGCTATAATCTTTTTCACATGTAATTGAATTCTCGAACCTTATTCTGATTAGTAGATTCAAATATATTCTTTTAGGGACCCTAATCAAGCTTATGAGCTCCTTAAAATGATAAATTTATTAAATGACCAATTACGCCTAGTAAAAAAGATTAGTGATAATTTCATCAATTTGTTAAATTTAACATGGATATACGAATTTATATGTTATGATAAATATAATTTCTAATTGTCTAAATGGATAATAAATAAATTATAGATGAGACATTTTGTTTATGTATTTTTATCTCACAAAAGCTTGGAAAACCAATTTAAAGAAAAAAACTAGGCGTGTCCCCTTGCACTATTGAAAGTTCTATGGTTTGCAAGATCAATTTTTTAGTTATTAGTTTATATTCATTTCTTATGTTTATGAATATATTTGATTAATATTTATAGATATATATGTTTAACTTAAAAGTTAAATGAATTAATCTAAAACTAAATTTGAATATTCTAATATCCAAACAAACTAAAAATGAATATAGTGTAAAAATTACAATCTTAAAAACAAATGAATAAATCACAAACATTATAATGGTTGTTCATATTTTATTCATTTGTATACCTAATTAAATAAATATAATTATTTTAGTTCAATTTAAAATATATAAAAACATCACTATAATAATTTTCCTATATTTAATATATTTATTTATAGTTTATATGAACCAGGGGCTTGGGCTTGGCACCAACCCTTAGGCGGTGGACTTCTGCAATTCACAATTAATTGCCTATAAGTCAAAAAATATTTGGTCATTTTGGACAAATAGGTACATAGCGAACAGAGAACAAAAAAAATGAAAAAAAGAGCACTGAATAATCCAAAGGATCCCACTACGGGCCTGCTGCGATTTTTTTTTTTTGGTAGGGGGGTTTGTTTCATGGAGGATATTAACTTATTGGAGACTGCTTACGAGGACCGAAGAACCCGAAAGATCGTTTGCCTCGAAAGTACAAAGAAGGGTATAAGTGCACAATTTTTGCAACTGCCATTATCGACACTGCACCATGCATTGTCAGGGACATTAAATGAGCCATTCTCACAAATAAATGAATAATTTATCACATTTTTATATCATCATTTATGTTTTGCTTTAGCAAATTCACTCAACCACTCGCCTTCACTGGTCAGCATATTTAAAAATGTGCATTAACCCTTTATAAATCGATGTTAAAGAATCCAAAATTGATAATACTAGTTGGAAACAGTATAATATTAGATATTGATTGAATGTTTACTTTTATTTTTTTATTAGTTATTCACTGTATTATTGTTTTCGTTCACTTTACTTGATTTCATTTTACATTAACGAAATTAAATTACTAAATACTTTTTAACAAACAACAAAATCATCTTTTTTATATATTATTTTTATGCAAAAAATAATATATAAGAGACTTGAACTATTACATATAAAGTAAATAAATTTTTTATTTACTGTTGAAATTATTCTTATTTCTCTATTTAAAGGAAAGTTAATTAAGAGTAGTAATTTTTTTAATTGTGTTAATTTGTTCAACAAATTTGGCTATTCATTGAGTTCATGTCTTTTAAAACTGAATAAATATCATTTTTCGTTTTTTACAAATAAAAATAATATCTTGTGAAAATGTTAGAATTCATTTGAAACAAAATTAGTTGTTACAATAAAATCCTATTAAATTTGAACTAGGGATACAGAAGATATTGGGATGCTCATTTGTGTTTTTGTTCCAAATCATTTTTTCAAATAATGTACATTCGAATGCCTTAATATGAAATCATATAAAAGGATTTTTCAGACATGATATTCGAATTTCATTGGTCAGGCATCTAAATATTATAGTGAAAATTTAAACAAAAAAAATCTATTCAGATAGAATTCAAATCCTCATGCATGGGCATTCGATTGTTATATATTGAAAGCTTTTTCGATTGATTTTTCACGAAAACCCTTCAAAAGTTATTAATAGTTTCTTAATCACTGATTTCTCGTTCAATTGATTAATACATCGTATTTAATGAATTAACTTTCATTCTTTCTTTATGTTTTGAATATATTTTAATAATTTTTTTAGTTTCAAAATTTTTTATTTTGGATATGAGGATTCGAAGATTACTTTTTATTGAGTTGGGCGATTGATTATCCCAAAAACTTAAGATAATGTCCAATTTTGATAGGAAATTGGCCAACTATATAAATTCTACCACTTTTTAAGACGAATATCATGAATCAATCATAAAGTTAAATGCTCGGATTCCTTTTTTCGGATTTGAACCATTTAATACATCCCTTTTTAAGCTAGTAATATTTTGGTTGTAATTAGATGAGTTAGAGGAAATAAAATTCTTGATCTTAACACTAACCAAAGGTTAACCTTGAGATGTTACCTAAGAGTAACTTTAATTAATATGGAGGATCCATCAATCTTGACATGAAAGCTCATACTCTTTATCTTTTACTTACCTATCAATATTCTTGTGTTCTAGTTTAGGGCCAATGAACTTCCTATCTAAACAATTTAAAATATTTTAATGGTAATTAATAAAACAACAAAGTAACATATGAAAGTACTAATAATAAAATAAAAGCATTTTTGTTGTTCCACTCTTAACTTTGTCTTTGTCCGTACCATCATTTCTTCTACTTGGATTGATGTTATTTTTGTTTGGTTAAAATAAGCATGGTCATTAATAATGGTACTTTGTTTTTTTTTTTTTTTTGTTTAAAAATGGACTGCCTAATATCAATTAAGAAAAAAAAAGGGGTTAATTTTTTAATCAAGTAATGCAAAAGTTATGTGAAAAAACAGAAGTAAAAATTGTGAATGTATCAAAATTGATGTAAAATAATATATTTTTAGAATAATCAGAAAAAGTTTTAAATCCATATAAAAATAAAAATGAGAAAAAAAAAAAGCAACAATTTTCTAGAATATAAAGCAAGATCATACTATTGGGCATCATTATCTTGTTGTTATGATACTATTATTAAAGCAGCGGAGGATTGAGGTATCAAAGGAGGAGGATAGGATGTTCAATTTTATCGAGTGCCCATGCTGGGGAAAATTGATTGTGGCAATTGCCCAGGCAGGGGGCAATAGCAATGGCATAAAATTAATTTTGATGAAATTAAAAGTAGTAATAAAAATTTTAATAAAAAATTTATATCAAATAAATTTAATTAAGATTAATATTTAAATTTAATAAAAAATAATTTAAGTTTAACTATGCCTAGTGAGGAACGGTTACATGCAAACGTAAACTTAAAATCATCCAGACACTTTTTTCTTCTTTTAGATTCCCAGCTCCCCAACTCTTTTTCTCTCTTTTTTCCATTAAAAAAAGAAAAAAAAAACCCCCAAAACTCCCAAAACTGACTGTAAACGATGTTAAACTCATGTATATTGTTGGGGCAAAAGCCAAAAACAAAGGCATGAAAAGAAAAAGCAACCCTCTCTCTCTCTCTACTGTTGTACTTCTTCCCAGCCAAAAGAAAAGAAAAGCCCCCTCAACTCTGATGTCTCTCTTCCATTGCAAACTGGGAATTGAAAAAGAAGGAAGAGCCAAAGACATCATAAAGAAATTGACTAATCCATCGACCTCATGTAAAAACTACTGTCTTACTACTATTTTTCTACTTTCGTATCGGTAAAGCACAGATATCTCCCCTTCCCCCCCCCCCCCCCACCTTTCCTTATTTTACGATACAAGACTCTTTTTCCATTGAAGAACAAAGATGCCAAGACCTGGCCCTGGCCCTAGACCTTACGAGTGTGTAAGAAGAGCTTGGCATAGCGAAAGACACCAACCCATGAGAGGTTCCATCATTCAGCAGATTTTAAGGTTCTGGGCCTTCTTTGTTTTCATCAATTTTGTTACATTTTTAGCAGCATTTATTCTAGTCTGGGTTTAATTCCTTGCCCGCCATGCGTTTGATTTTAGGCTAGCTACCGAAACTCATAGCACAGCTACTAAAAAGAACACGGAATGGCAAGATAAAATACTTACTGTTATCGTCCAAGCTGAGGAGATTATGTATTCCAAAGCCAATTCTGAGGTTCTTTTCTTCTATTAAATTTGTGGATCTTTTATCTTGGATCTTTCTTTTTTGGACTCGTTTTTTTCTTATTGTTTTTTTAGGCTGAATATATGAACCTGGAAACCTTATGGGACCGTGTTAATGATGCCATCAACACGATTATTCGTAGGGATGAGAGCACTGAAACAGGAAAGCTTTTGCCACCTTGTGTTGAAGGTACTATTGATTTTCTTTTTTATGTTCTTTATTTGTTGGGATCTTTTTGGATTCAAGTTTATTACTATGTTGCTGGTTTTTGTCATATTTGAATGTACATTAGCTTCAACTTTTTGAAGTTTTCGATTTGAAAGTAGTTTCAAGAACAATTTGGACTGAAAGATTGTAGTACATATATGTTGTTTTAGCGGCCCTTAATCTGGGTTGCCATCCGGTGAGAACTTCAAGGAGCCAACGGCACTGTAATCCTAGGACTTACCTTACGCCAAGAGCACCAGAGCCTCTTTCTGCAGCTCCTAGGATTTTGGATAAAGGTAGTGAAGAAAGGTGTCCCCAGTTATTGCCAGTTCAGTCTGGCTGTCAATTTGTAAGAACAGCCCCCAATGTCAATTCGAACATTTTGGTTTCTCAAACTGACCGTCATAGTTATCCTTTTATGTCTGAAAATTGTCCATCTGGCCATGACCAATTGATGAGGATGGAAACTAACACCCCACTAAACTCAGGTCAAGTATGTTCCCTTTGTTATGGAATTCACTATCAAAATGCAGAGTCCAAGACAGGTTCTCCAGTTCAGGAAAATATAGCGTCTGATAAAATAATTGTTGGGAGACCTGTTGATACATCGATCACAGAGCCAGCTGAAATGGGTTTCTTGCAGAATCTCTTTTCCTTTTCTGATGTTGATGTTGGTGGTAAGAGAATTGGACAGCAAGATATCAGGCACACCGATAAGAGGTCATTTGGGACGGAGTGTGATTTGTCCTTGCGGTTGGGTCTATTTTCTGACCCTTGTAAGCAAGTAGATATGAATTCAATTTGTGCAACTGAAGAAGTTGTTCCTAGGAGCTCCCAAGTTGGGAGCAAACTTAATGATGTTTTTCACAAAAAGAGTAAAGAGTTCCATTTTTTTCCAGAGAGGACTGTTAATGACCATTTTAAATCATTTTCGAGAAAGTGGTTTATAAAAAGTGGAGGTCACAATTTGGGGGCAACAATGAGAAAGCACGAGGCAACATTTGGAGGCAATTCGGAGGATCAACAATTTTGCTGGCAACCAGGGCCCTCATCTAATAATTGAAGAAACGGGCCAGGTTTGTCGACAATGGTTTTGTTGTAGTTTGTCCTTTAAAATTAATGATCTCTTGAGCGAATTAGTGAGCCCCTTTTGCAATCTTTATTTTCCAAGTAGATCTGATTGTAAAATTTAAATGCTGACCATGAGTCGCATTTTTGGGATGCAGCGGAAAGTGAATTGTAAATAAAATCTGAGCTTGATTCATTTCTAATAGTTGGATGATTTAATTCTTATTACACATACAATTACTTAAAACCTTTTAATAAATAAATTTTGATCAGTTGAGGGCCATATAAGGAATATTTACCTTCTCACCATCATTCTGAGTGATTTGTAGGTTTATACTTGTACAAAGATCTGGAGAAAAATGAAGAGGAAAAATTTTATGTACTTCGGACAAATTGAAACTATGAAGTGAAGTAAAATATAGAACCTGAGCTAACAAAGAGTGAAGTCTTGATTATGAAGGAAATATCCAACATCAGGAATTCAAGTTGCCTGTTCCCTTAGTAGAATGGGCAAGGATTGATTTTTGCATGTTTGTAGCACAGTAATACATTTCTTGCTAATATGACCTTTTCTTGAGTTAGCCACGGAAGGATATTTTTTAGTTCTTGGTGTAGACATCCTATTTTGTTGGAAAATCATTTTGTCTAAAATTTTTTTCGAAATTGAAACCAGACTTCAACCGTAAATTGAATCCAATTGAAAAAATATCTATTTTTTAACTTAATTTTGATTTAATTTTATTTTTGTCTAAAAAAAAGAAATATTTTAATGAAATTTGGAAAATGATGTTGAGATATTTGTTGATAGATTTTTGGAATTCAATTCTAGAATTAATTCATGTTAAAATTAAATCAAATAAAATCATATATTTAAGGAAAATTGATTTAGCATTAATTTCTATATAAATCTAAAGGCAAAGCAGAGAAGAAAGTGGGGCAAATAAGCAGAATTGAAGAAGCAATCGAGAGCAATTCAACTCAAGGAGATTTTTGGCATTCAAGCTAAATTCTCTAGAGCAGTGACAATTCTACAGGCAGCAATTGAGAGAGAGCCTGCAATCGAGCAATTAGAAAAAAGCAGAGAAACAATTGTGGAATCAATTTGGTAGAACAAGGGATCATTCAGCAACAAATTTTTTTTTTGGCAACAAGCTTTCAAGCAATTCGGCAACACAATGATTCAACACCTATTCAGCCGTGCAAATTAGCGGGAGTATCAAATAGCCACAACAAACCGAAATAGACAAATCCCATTCACCCCCAAGTGCATTAATCAAATTCAACAAGAAGAAAATCCAGAACCCAGCCAACCTACAAATAAAAGCAAGATCAGACAACCTCAAATAGAGGCAGAAAACGAAAGCAACAAGCAATTGGATAACCATACACGGAACATCAGCAATTACGTAGCAAAAAGGAAAGTTCCAAAAGGTTCTTGGTTGAGGTTTGAGGCAAAAAATAGAAAAGGTGACAGGAAGTGGAGAACAATGGCAAATGGCTGTGGCAGTAAGCAGGATCTCGCTGGTTGTTGGGTTGTTTTGCGAATGTTCTAATTTTTAGGTTTCTTGAGAAAATTTAAAGAGGGGATTACAAGGAGTTTAAAAAATGATTCTGTTTTGGACTTTCATCGCTGTTAAGTGACGACGAACAGTGGAAGAGGTGGCTGTTTTCAATCGGGACTTGGGCTGGGTAGGTTCTCTGGTTAGTAGAGAAAGAAGAAAGAGAGCAAGAGCTTGATATCAGTTTTGGGGTTTGACCGAGGGAAATAGGCTGAATATTTGACTTCAACGATTTAAGTGCTAAAGAGGGTGAAGATAGTCAAAACAGTATCGTTTTGAACTCCAGCCAAAAAGGACCCGCGTGAGACCTATAGTGAACCAACCTTGTAAGATTTTTTATTTTTTATTTTCTATCTTTTATTTAATTTCTTTTTCCTTCCTTCATGATATTTTTGCATATTTTTATTATTTATTTATTTTTACATGATTTTTATTTACATTGTTTATTTATTATTTTAAATTTATTTGTGTTTAATATTTATAGTTTGTATGATTCATTATTTGCATTACTGCATGATAATTTATATTAATTGTATGATATATCATTATATGATATTTACATTATTTGCATTTTTTTTTGCATGATAATTTTTGTCTATTTTAATTGATTTTTTTTTCTCTTTCAAATTAAAAAAAGGTGTTTTCAAAAGAAAATATTTTGTATTCATTCTACAAAACTATTGAACGATTGTATCTTAAGTTAAATCTTACCAAACTATTAGAAGATTTAATGAATTTTGTCAAAAATAAAATTTTATAAATATTTTACAATAAAATCTCACCAAATTATTAGGAGATCTGTATCAAAATAAATCCTACCAAACTATTGAAAGATTTTACTAATTATTTTCTTAAGTAAGATACATTAATAAATTCGATGACAGAGCCTCTTCAGGGTAGAACACTAGTCTCCATGAATACTTCTAAGGTAAGAGAATTATCTTAAAATGCTACAAAACTATAGGAGAAATTTTAAAATTAATTTTCAATATTAAATATTTTGATAAGTTATAAATACGGTTAAGACTTGGATAATTTAAAATCAAAATTGGTACCATATTTTAGATTGACACTATAAAGGTGTTATAACCTTCATCATGCGTAACTGCACTCCCAATCTAAAATATGATTTTGTGGAGTAAAATATACTATTTAAATATACCTAAGTTAATCTTGAGACTCTTTTTTAAATATGATAGATTTTGTTAAGTGATCAATCACATCTAAATAAAAAAAAATTGTTGGTGACTCTCTAAATCCATGTTTAGCGATAAGTCAATAGATTTATACATTATGATAGTTTAATGACTCCACTGGGAACACGAGAGTTAGGCCAGTAAATGATTTCTTATTATCTAAGCCTAACCTAATAAATTTAAAATCTTTTTTTTCTTTCTTTTTCCTTGCTTATATTTTGTTTAGTTATTCATTTATTCATTTTTATATATCTATCATTCATTTTTATATGTATAACATGAGCTCTACACCCGAGTTTTATCCCTTATGAGGAAGTAAAGTACCTATACCTTCATGAGTTTTCATGTCTCTGCATGGGCTAACGAAATACTCTCACTTAGATTGAATATTTTTTACTTGTAGCCTATAATGGGTAAAGATCAGGGTGCCTTACTAGTCTATAATAGACAATGATGTGAGGAATAATATGAGAACTCTTAGATTGTCAAACTTTTAAACCTAGCATGTAAATAAACTCTAAGAGTCCGAACCTAGGTTAAAGCCATACCTTCTCTAGTGTTAAAAAATTTTAAATAGGACATATGATATGACATTTATTCTACTTGTAAATTTATATATTTTCTTTTTATTTGTGTACTAATCCTTTATGTTGTTTTTTGTCTATATTATTTTTTGTACATATCATTCTTTACTAACCCATTTCTTTTATTGTATATGCATGTATTGACATAATTAAATTATTCTTATTGTATTCATATATATATTTTTATTTTTTTACTTTTTGCATTCATTCTTATACATAATCTAATGGTTCCATAAATATCATTATAAATTTACACCCTAATTGTGGGAAATAAAGGTTTAAGGATAGCTTAACACTAGTATTATCCCCAGGCTCAACCTAGAAGAATGGAACAATATAATGCGAGCCGTGTAGAGAAATTAAAAAAAGCTCAGGATGAAATCAATGGAGAACTGAGCAAGATCCTTGAAGCTTTAGGTAAGCTAAATAAAAGAAAGATGATAAAAGAAGACGTTTCGCATAAAGTTACTAATCCTCTGTATCTTTCGGGTTATGGTCATATTAGGCCTAATCTACTCAAAATTTCCTATCACAATAGCTTGTATATTCAAGCTATACTTATTCAGGGATACCACTTGTGCCTAGTCGAAAGAATGTTTAAAACTACATCAATCCTGCCTTCACTAAAAAGGTAATTGAACTAGTCTAAATGCCCAATTTAAATGATCTAAAAGAGAAATTGGAATTGAAGGCAGCTAAGTCCTTAGAGGACCTTAAGACTGATCACACAATGAACATGATTGAAGAGAGATTACGAGCTGTAGAAGACATTGACTTCTATAGATCCATGGACATTGCAAGGCTCTATCTGGTGCCAGACATGATGATACCCCTAAAGTTTAAAGTATCAGAGTTTGAAAAGTATAATAGTACTAAATATCCTATTACGCATCACGACATATTGTCATAAGATGGCAGCACACGCTAGCAATGAAAAACTACTCATGCAAGTGTTTTAGGATAGTTTAACTGAGTTTATCGTAAAATGATACGTTTAGTTAGATAGAGCTCACATTTGATCATGGAAAGATTTGACCAATTTCTTCATCAATCAATACTACCATCTTATAAACATGACTCCTGATCTTCTTTTTTTACAGAGCATAAAAAAAGAAACAGAGTCTTTTAAAGAATATGCCCAATGGTGGATGGGTATGGCTGCTTAAGTTTAACTTTCTTTGACAAAAAAAAAATAATGATTTTATTTATAAACACCCTGAGGTACCCTATTATGAGAAAATGATAACAAAAAACTTTGTTGATATAGTAATCTCAAGAAAAATCATTGAAAATGCTATCAAGAGTGGCAAGCTTGAGAAATGAAAGGTTAGTATTACAAAGAAAGATGGGATACCTAAAAAAAAAAAAGTTGAAGCTCAAGCGGTGAGTTTTGAGGGATAATAATTCAGAAGTTATACTCCATACCAGCCATATGTTCATCTTACTTACTACCCGATAGTCGATAATGTTGCACAAGTTTCTTACTAGCCTTATTTCTTAACCATGAACAATATTGCTTTAAGTCTTCATTAATAAGCTTTTTAAGCACTTATATATGGGCCTAATCTTATTATTACACCAGTTTCAAGGTCTAACAATCAAACAAGTGGTTTGAAAAGATCCAAAGGCAATTAAAAAAGAGCTCGTATTAATCTTATCTTTATAACTTATACTGAACTATTTTCAGAATTGGTCAAGAATGACTTAGTATCCCCAGTCTTTCTCAAATCATTAAAGCTACCCTATCTCAAATGGTACAATATTAATGCCACATGTGATTACCATAATGAAAATGTAGGTCACACCATAAAAACCTACCTTACTTTCAAGCATAAGGTACAAAGTTTGATTTGAGCAGGCTCAATGAACTTCAATAAATCATAGGAGCTGAATATCCACAAAGGCTTTTATCTAATCACCTAGGGGCATGATTTTAGAGAGGTTGATTAGAATTGTTTATCATATTAAGATTTTTTGATAATATAGATATCTTTTATGTACTTGGATTTCATTTTATTTTTTTTATCATTTTAATAAAAGTGATAAATTTAATGTATTTTCATATCATTTCCTCTTTTGTGTGAATCACCGTTATGTACTTTTACCTT